TGTGAAACACCATTCAGCATTGATCAGCACTCTTACAACTCTATCAATCGTCATTGTAGTTGTCATATCATGGGGATTGTATCAATGGTGTAAGGTGAAATGTCAAAGAAAACCAAAACCAAAAGAGACATCCAATATTGAAGAAGGGATTCCTCTGCAACCGATCAACTCGGAATCATCTGCAGTCGGAGGAATTCAACTACAACCAATCTACGCGGAAATTCACCAAAGAATGAACTCCGAACAGTAATACGGTGTAGGGAAGTGTAGTGTAGTGAATTAACATAACAAAAGACAATAACCTCACTAAGTAATAAATTTTCTCTTTTTTTGGCGGGCAGAATGTTTAATCTCGATTAAACAATATTTTATTCAATTTTTCTTTTAATTTTTTTTACTTCCTTTAATAAGGTCAGCAGACAAATTACCAAACGTCGCTGACCAAACGCATCGCTCGCACCGCATAATTGCGTAACGCACACCGCGCGCAATTATGCGACCTAAATTAATTAGTTTTTTAATCGCTTATTAATTGTTAAGTTAGCATTAAGATTTGTATATAAACCCCAAATTTTGAATTAATAAACAGTATTATTGATATCTTCGTAATGCTCATTTCCTTCCTGGATTAAACGTCTGGCCTGCCCGGAGTTTAATCCGTTCCAAAATAAATATCTGGCTTGCCCGGAGTTTATTTTTTCCCAAACATTTTCAAATATCTGGCCTGCCCGGAGTTTGAACACTCTTTACGAATTTGTTCCAAATATATCTTGGACAACGTTGGTGAGACATAATCAGTGATGGGCGCCGCTGGTTAAAACCCGGTGTGTAGGTATTTCTAAAATGGGTATTTATCCGAGTATTTACCCCGGCCCAGGGTAAATACCCAAACAGTGGGTATAAAAGTGATACCAGTAAATATATATCAGATTCAAAAAAAAATGAAGAGGAAGATGATTAGACGAATCTGTCGTAATTTAGATTGGATCAAGTTATTATGATTATAATCATCAAGCAGCCCACTGGGTCCATTGTTGGACATAGACCTCCTCTATTCTGTTTCATTCGATTCTATTCTGTGCTGTCTGAATCCAATTGTTGGTCATTCTTTTGACGTCTACTTCGTCTGTTCGCCTGCGGTCTCCACTCAAGCAACCATTTTGTCCAGTGCTCATTCTTCATTCGCGCGACATGACCCGCCCAGTTCCACTTAAGCTTTGCCACAATGTTGACCATATCCCTCAGAGTTAGACCCAGGATCGACCTCTCCATCTATCTATGCGTTACTTGAACTCTCCTGACAGTGGCTGCCGTTAATGTTAAAGTTTCGGAGCCTTATGTCATAACTGGAAACACGCATTGATTGAAAGCCTTTCTTGGCCTTTTCTCTTGAAGATGTCTGTAAATTTCCCGTAGACTGCTCATACGAGTGTGATCCTTCTGTTTAGTTCGCTTGTTTGATTATCTCTCGGTACACGAACCTCGTAGCCAAGATATACATATCTGTCAACCCTCTCAATCTCATTATCCCCAATGTTGATGTTAGAGCTTGGAACAAGATTTGTTATAAATTTTGATTTCTCCTCGTTGATATTTAGCCCGACTCTTGCACACGCCTCTTTTAAGTCGTTCAGCATTAGTTTAATCTCTTCAAGGCTATCCGATATAAGAACTATATCGTCCGCGTAGCGAAAATTACTTAAGCAGTTGCAATCAATGTTTATGCCTTTTTGGGTCCAATACAGTTGTTTAAATGGACTCTGAGGACTGTGATGAATAATTTGGGTTCAACAGTGTATCGCCTTGTTTTACTCACAATCAGTACTTTACTACTTTTACCGTCATTGTAGCATTCTTGTAGATGTTATAAATAAGTTTGGTATATCGATAATCGACTCTGCATTCTTGAAATGCTTGCAAAACTGCCATCAACTCAATTTAAATTAAATTTTATAAATATCTCTGAATACCCATCTTGGGTAAATGTGGTTGAAGTTAGATTCACTCGCCAGACACAAATTCGAATACTTATAGTCGATCAAACAAGTAGTGGTCCTAAAATTTTCTTTCAAATACGAACTTCTTTTCTCACCACTTGGGAGCGTTTCACTCTAAAATCACGCTAAGTACTTAAGTTGAACTCTCTAGAACCCCCGTGCACGATTAGAACCCCCGAATTTAGAGATGGGGATGCAGGGTGAGGGTTTAATTTTTGTTAATTTTGTAGAATAACTTTATGATTTTTTTTTCTCATCCCTCGTGGTGTGCTTCACTTTGCAACCACGCTAAATAATTAAGTCGAACCCTCTAGAACCCCCGTGCACGATCAGAACCCCCGAATTTAGAGATGGGGATGCAGGGTGAAGGTTTAATTTTTGTTAATTTTGTAGGGTTCCTTTAGAATTTTTTTTCTCATCCTCCGCGGAGTGCTTCACTTTACAACCACGTTAAATAATTAAGTCGAACCCTCTAGAACCCCCGTGCAGGATCAGAACCCTCGAATTTAGAGATGGGGATGCAGGGTGAGGTTTTAATTTTTGTTAATTTTGTAGAGTAACTTTAGGATCTTTTTTCTCATCCCTCGTGGTGTGCTTCACTTTGCGACCACGCTAAATAATTAAGTCGAACCCTCTAGAACCCCCGTGCAAGATCAGAACCCTCGAATTTAGAGATGGGGATGCAGGGTGAGGGTTTAATTTTTGTTAATTTTGTAGGGTACCTTTAGAATTTTTTTTCTCATCCCCCGCGAAGTGCTTCACTTGGCAACTACGCTAAATAATTAAGCCGAACCCTCTAGAACCCCTGTGCAAGGTCAGAACCCCCGAATTTAGAGATAGGGATGCAGGGTGAGGGTTTAATTTTTGTTAATTTAATAACTTGTTAATTTGATTAATAACTACAAGATATAAAGCACACAAAGTGGAAAAATTCTCAAAAGACAGAAAGACGAACACGTTCACGTCAAACACCTTGTTCCACAACGACAAAGAACAAACTAAATACGACTAATAAACAGACTGTGATCGTAGACGATACGATTTGGGCACCACAAAGACGTCGCCAGCACGAAGTTGAGGTCACACCGACGTATAAAAAATATACTCACGTTATGTTTTTACTTTTTATTTACTTTATTTGCGTTAACTTAGAATACATATTACATTTTTTATTTAAAGGTTTAGTTTTTATTATTAAAAAAAAGCTTACTCTACAAAATTAATAGAAATTAAACCCTCTTCCTGCATCCCTATCTCTAGATTCGGGGGTTCTGATCATAACCATTTAGCGTGGTTGCAAAGTGAAGCACTCCACGGGGATGAGAAAAGAAATCCTAAAGTTACTCTACAAAATTAACAAAAATTAAACCCTCATCCTGCACCCCCATCTCTAGATTCGGGGGTTCTGATCGTGCACGGGGGTTCTAGAGGGTTCGACTTAATTGTTTACCGTGGTTGCCAAGTGAAGCACTCCACGGGGGATGAGAAAAAAAAATCATAAAGTTACTCTACAAAATTAACAAAAATTAAACCCTCATCCTGCATCTCCATCTATAAATTCGGGGGATCTGATCCTGCACGGGGGTTCTAGAAGATTCGACTTAATTATTTAACGTGGTTGCAAAGTGAAGCACTCCACGGGGGATGAGAAAAAAAAACCTAAAGTTACTCTACAAAATTAACAAAAATTAAACCCTCACCCTGCATCTCCATCTATAAATTCGGGGGTTCTGATCCTGCACGGGGGTTCTAGAGGGTTCGACTTAATTATTTAACGTGGTTGCAAAGTGAAGCACTCCACGGGGGATGAGAAAAAGAATCCTAAAGTTACTCTACAAAATTAACAAAAATTAAACCCTCACCCTGCATCCCCATCTCTAAATTCGAGGGTTCTGATCCTGCACGGGGATTCTAGAGGGTTCGACTTAATTATTTAACGTGGTTGCAAAGTGAAACACTCCCCGGGGGATGAGAAAAAAAATCCTAAACTTACTCTACAAAATTATTAAAAATTAAACCCTCCTCCAGCATACCCATCTCTAGATACGGGGGTTCTAGAGGGTTCAACTTAAGTACTTAGCGTGATTTTAGAGTGAAACGCTCCCAAGTAGTGAGAAAAGAAGTTCATATTTGAAATAAAATTTCAGGACCACTACTTGTTTGATCGACTGTAAATATTCGAATCTGTGTCTGGCGAGTGAATCTAACTTCAGCCACATCTTGGGTAAATACCCCCAGGTATATATCCAGGAAATTTACCCTTGAAAATAAATACCCGGGGATTTAAGAACATTAAACACAATGCCCTTGTTTCAGAACATTGCATTGGTTTCATTGAATCCTGTTGTAAACTTTTTGCCGATTTTAATTCTTGTTTTTGTTTATTTATATAAATATTTTACTGCTTTTATTAGCTCCATGTTTATATTGTTTTTTTTTCAAGAGCTCTCCAAAGTAATAGTAAAAGTAATACTTGGATGATGATCTGAACTCTGTTTGTTTCTCGGCCTCTATTTCTTGATACTCATTTTTAATCTTATTCCGCACTTCGTACGATCTCCCTTTTTGTATATGATTCTTCATTCTATTCTTGTGGTACATCTGTTCCATCTACACAGTCCTTTCGCCCTTTTCCTGTATATACGTAACCTACATCTATCTACGGCATTGACATGGATGTAGGATTTGCTAGTATGTCTTTAAAGACTGCGGACATTTCCCAAACTAAGGAAGCAGTTAAAATGTAAGCGTTTGGGTGGATGCTCACGGAGGCGCCTAAGAAGGACGTGGAAGAGAACTGTTGAGGAAGAAGGAATTGAAGCAGGAAAAACTTGGAGAGAATTGAAACGCCTTGCTGCTAACCGGTGCAAATGGAAAGCTTTTACTGCTGCCCTATGCTCCACCAGGGACGATAGGAAATAAGTCAAGCCAGTCAAGATCAAACTGTGAATGAGTCGAACAAATATTTACTTCTAATTAAAAATTAATTTAAAATAAAACACATTTACAGTTTAAAATGCCTTTTATTGAAAAATACTTTTTGTTTATTCAAAATTCTTTATATTTTTTAAATATTTCCGCTATACATTGTTCGTTCTAACCACTTATCGTACGACGAAACCTTTGTATACAAAGCATAAAGATTTTTGCTGCATCCCACTTTCGAGCTTGGAGATAAGCTAACGATTCCTCTTATATAAAATTTTACATCGGATTGAAAATAGAATCCGCCACCACTATCTCCACTGCAAACTGTTGTAGCTAAAAGACATAAACAATTAACAAAATTATTAATTTGTTACAAGAATATTTTACCTTGATCAACGTAACCAGCGCATATTTTATCGGGGGTGTAAAATATGTCATAAAAGTCTTTTGGTAGGTGTTCTTTACATTTTGCTTGATTTTGAACGGGTAGAATGACTTTTTTAAGTTCGGCTGCTGGGTCGGAACCTTCCGAAGTGTATCCCCATCCGGCCACCTTTAAAAACAATTTTATGAATCACCCAATACAAACATTTAAAAGACACTTACAACACCCTTATTCCCATCTGTCAAACTGATATCTTCGTATCTGTGATCATAATCCAAACAAACCGGTTGAACTTGTAACCCCAACACCAAGTCTTCGTTTAATTTAATAAGTGAGATATCGTACTGGTAATTTCTAATTCTTCCTCTATAATCTTCGTGAACAATTAATTTTTCAATCTACAACGAAAAAATTATTTAAATAAATGTTTTGTTTATCGAGATGTACTAAAAAATTAATACCTACTTTCCTCACTTGTTGAGTACCCTTATCGCGGTCATCATTGATGTCTCTATGAAATTTACCGGCTATCAATGTATAACCTTCCTTATCGAAAACGTCTCCGTTGTCTAAATTACTGAAACAATGAGCGGCTAAAATTGTACAAACATAATTAAGCGCATTAAACACGAAATTCGAATAGGAATTGCTTTACCAGAGACCACGAATCTTGTTGAAATAATCGATCCTCCGCAAATGTGAGTATTAGTATTATCGTAAATAGCAACTATCCATGGATATTCACCAGGTTGTGCTTGTGATCCACCGATAATTAACGTCTGTGCGTTTACTCTTTTAAGGCCGCATTCTAAAAAAATCAGTAGCCGATATTATCGTATTATTACAAAAACACGGAATTAAATATTTTAGGTGTTATCTTTATGGAAATTAATTCCTTCAAGAAAGGGTAAGAAACATTGTAATTACAATTCTTTATGTCGGTTACAGATATTGTTGAAAAATTAACCCCGAATGACACATTTTTTTTATGTTTTTTCTATATTATGCATAATTGTATAACACCTAGTAAATACATACTAATTAGTGACTTATTTTTAACACCAAATTAAACTAGATAATGTTTTGCAGCTTTTCCCAGTGGTCCAGTCTGCTTTACCCATGATTGATAAATATTGTCATATTTTTACCGTTTTAATATACCAGGGTGAATTCACTATGCACCTTAGTACATTGTTCTGGAATCTTTGAATCAGACTTGCATTTGTCTTGCAGGTACAACCTCACAGTTGGATTCCGTATGTCCATTTTGGTTTTAATACTTGCTTGTATATTAGCAAGTTGTTACTTAGTGATAGCGTTGATTTTCTGCCAATAAGCCAATATAGGTGTTTAAATTTGATATCAAGTTCCTCACTTTTTTTTTGATATGAGCTTTCCAGTTGAGTTTGGCATCCAGCGTGCAAGGGGCAACATTGCCATTTATGTGTACTGGGACATAGTTTACTTTCTTATAAGTAAAGTTTATGTATGTCGATTTATTTATATTTAGTTTTATTAGCCATCGTTTGGTCCAGTTTTCTATTGAATTTAAGGCCAATTGTAACTTATTTGCTACAACTACTTCATTTTCTGCAACAACCAAGATCGCTGTGTCATCTGCGAATGTAGCTGTTAAAGTTTCGGGTAGTGTACAGTAAGTACAGGCTGTCCCAATTTCGATGTCCGCATAGGCTATCTCCGAAACTAAAAGAGATAGAAAAAAAGTGGCTTACATGTCATGATCTCGTTTTTCGAGAAAATGTTAATGCCGAAAACTCCGAACAACTATCGTCTTTTGTTTTCGCCCTATCGGCAAAAACTGAAAATTTTGCGAAAACGACAATCGCGATTATTCACTTATTATCAAAGATGGAGTATTATAAATAAAACATTATATGGGCAACTTTTTACGAAGAATTCAGTGGCGTAGGTAGAATTTTCTTCCCATCTTTTGTTTTGGGATTTTAGACGTAACTTTATTTCTTTAAATGGAAACCATAGTTGGCTATGACCTAAAATAACTTGTCATTTTCTTCTGATAACAAATATATATAGTTTGTGGGGTATATTTTTTATAGTTATTGAATAATTAACAAAAATTCATTTTATTCTATCTAAAACTATTGTATGTATTTAAAAGTTAATGTTGTTATGGTGATAACCATACCATGATGGAAAACATTGTTTCCAATAATTACCAAAGTTTGTAGTAGTATTTAAAAATTCACTAACAACTCTGGCATTATGTGCTGGTGCTCCATCATATTAAAAATATATCATTTGAGACATATTTAGTGGAAAATTGTCCACCAAAGGCTCAATGTACTGCCTTAATATATTGAGGTATTTCCCTGAATTTAAGTTTTTATGGTAGATACTATATGCCAAAATTCTATTATCTAAAAGCACACACCATACATTTCAAACACAAATGAATTTTTCTTAATTATTCAATAACTATAAGAAATATACCCAACAAACTATATATATTTGTTATCAGAAGAAAATACCAAATTAATTCTGCCTACGCCACTGAATTCTTCGTAAAAAGTTGCCCATATAATGTTTTCTTTATAATACTGCATCTTTGATAATAAGTGATATATTCGCGAATGTCGTTTTCGTAAAATTTTCAGTTTTTGCCGATAGGGCGAAAACAAAAGACGATAGCTGTTCAGAGTTTTCGGCATTAGCATTTTCTCGAAAAACGAGATCATGACATATAAGCTACTTTTTTCTATCTCTTTTAGTTTCGGAGATAGCTTATGCGGACATCGAAATTGGGTCACCCTGTACAGGATGGGCAAATTTGGGTGTTATTATGGACTATCTCAGAAACTATAAGAGATACGAAAAAAATAGGTGCCATGTCCCGATCTCTTTTTTCGAGACTAACCCAATCCCGCAAACACCAAACTCTATCTTCTTTTGTTTTTAAGTTATAGCCAAAAAGTCAAATTTTCGTGATTTTAAAAAATGCTCATGTTTCGTTTATTTTTGAAATTAGAGAAATGGGGTTGATACGTTCTTTAGACACTTTTTTAAGTAGAATATACTGCCGTTGAAAAATTTTAAAAATATTTGATGATTTTAAAGATACAACACAAAGTTGTATTTTTTTAAATACAAACTATAGTAGATTATGGTGTTACTGAAAAGAGCATATTTTTAGCTTTCCAATGATGTATTGCACGCATGGTGTATTTGGGGAAAATAAGCGTTATTTTTTAATTCTAAAATATTAAAGATTAATATTCAAAATTTTAATTGTAGTAGGCGAGGAAAACGTTAAATGCCACTTATTAGTTACTATAGTAACGTGAGTTTACTGATTATTTCATTCATGAATTTTTCGACACGAGTTTCCCGCTTAAAACTTCCTCATTATCTTTAAATACATAAAGCGATAAAATTAAAAAATGACTCTTTGAAAATGATAGATAAGGCTCAATATCCCATATAAACATCGTTTTAATGGAAAGTCCGCTGCCCAGTTTATGATCCCTAATCTTCCTCTATCTCACCCAATTTCAAAAGAAAAGGTTGCTAATATGAAAAAATTTCTAAATCTCATGGTTGGGGAAAACTGGGAAGATACTACCGAAGATTTCATTCATTGATACCCAACTGTTCTAACCTTACAACCAGTAAGTTTAGTAGAAGAAAATGACAGTCTGTGATTGTTTAGTTCCTGAAGTTATTGTTCATATTTAATTATTCATTAATTAATACGTTTCTTGCATTTTTAATAAACAAACTTTATCTACAAATAATATTTTATTGGTGAACAAAGTCAGGGATAAGACACTGAAAAATTTAAATCAACTATTCAAAGTTTTTATTCGTTGGTACAAAACCAACTTTATCCTGCATAATGGTACAAGACCAACTTTCTGTCATATTCGTGCAAAACCATATAGCAATTAGCTAGTAATTACTGTCCGAACCCGCCTACTATAATCAAAATTTTGAACTTTAGCGCTTACTATTTTGGAATTGAAAATTAACGCTTATTTTCCGCAAATACACCATACATGCGATACATCATTGGAAAGCTAAAAATATGCTGCTTTCGTTAACATCATAATTAAGTACAGTTTGTATTTAAAAAAATACAACTTTGTGTTGTATCTCAAAAATCATTAAATATTTTTAAAATTTTTCAACGTCAGTATATTCTACTTAAAAAAGTGCCATAAGAACGTATCAACCCCATTTCTCTAATTTTAAAAATAAACGAAATATGAGCATTTTTTGATCACGAAAATTTGACTTTTTGGCTATAATTTAAAAACAAAAGAAGATAGAGGTTTGGTGTTTGCGGGATGGGCTTACTCTCGAAAAAAGAGACTGGGACATGGCACCTACTTTTTTCGTATCTCTTATAGTTTCTGAGATAGCCTATAATAACACCCAAATTTACCCACCCTGTACGTTGATGGTATTTCGTATAGTTTGTAATTTAAACCATCTAACCAGACTTTGTCGAAAGCTTGTGCAACATCCAGAAATACGGCGGAGCAGACTTTATTTTCTTCTTTTGCTATTTCGATAGTATTCGTTATTCTATGCATATAATTGGGGTCTATTGTTGCATGTTTATTCTGAAACCCAAATTGATGTGTTGGTATTAGGGCTTTTTCTTCTATTACAGGTTTTAGTCTTTTTAATAGCAATTTTTCAAGCAGTTGATAGTAAGGGTAATAATGAGATTGGCCTATATGATGTAACATCTGTGGGGGGTTTACCAGGTTTTCGTATTATTATTATTTCAACTTTCCATATACTTGGGAAGCATTTCTGTTTAAAAGCAGCATTAATTATGTGTAATAGTTTTATAATCGCCCGTTTTGGTAGATGTTTGATTTCTGATTTCTTTATATTTAGTTTTTGTATTTCATAATACAGTTGTTTCATTCTTACACATGGTGTATTACTCTGCTGATCACTTTGAATTACGCTAGGGACTCTATTTAGCATAGTTGTCGAACTGTCTGATGTAAAAGTTTCTTTCAGATGTTCAGCAAGCAAATTAACTTTTTCTTGATTGCTCTTAGCCCAATTTCCATTATTATTTCGAATTGGAGGTGTACGTGTTTTTGGAACTTTAAACTTTCTTGTTACCTTTCACAGAGAATAATCAGTACTGGCACAGTCAGTAAGGTCTTTTAATTATTTTGGAATATTATTATCTTTGTGGCTATTTGTTAATGCTCTTAATTCGGCTGTTATTTTATTTAATTTAGTTTTATCACTAGGAATTCTATTGGTTTGCCATTTTTTTCTTGCTTTCCGTTTTTCTGCAATTTTGTCTGTAATGAATTTAGGATAAATGTTAGATTTAGGTTTTGGTGTTAAAATTGGTGTTGTGCCCCAGGCTGCGTTTTGTATGTCTTTTAAGAACTTTTCTACTTCATTGTCAATGGCTTCGTTTGTTTTCATAAGAGCATTAAGATGAATTTTATTATCTAATGTTAGTTGAAATAGATTCTAATTAGTGAGTTTATTAGTTAGTGTTAAAAAGGGTTCTTTGTTACATACTTTGCTATTTAGAGTAATAATTACTGGTGGGCGATCTGAGTCATCCTAACTCTTCTTCTATGTTTACGAAGTTAAGCGACATATTTTTCGTAATAAAAAAATCAAGCAGGTCCGGAATTTTACTTCTATCTGTTGGCCAGTAAATTGGCTTCCCAGATTAGGGCCTCTTCTATGCATATTGCATGGTTCAGTTCTCTTCCTTTTGTATTTGTCAAGCGAGAATACCAAGACATATGTTTTGCATTAAAGTCTCCTCCAAGTATAAAT